AAGGGGAATGCGCCCAGGTGGGTTTGAGCAAACGCCTCGTAGGAGGAGATCTGGGGAAGTAAGGAGGCCTCGCAGCAGCTATAAAGAGCGGTCCCAGTGTGGTTTGGCACGTGATGAAACTAGGCAGTAGGTGCAGGAATTTGGATATAATGTCAGGGGTTTAAGCTGTAATTCAGGGAGTATAAATACACAAGATAGATGTGCGTGTCGCCAAGCGGTGCTGGGAGGGGTGGAAGGCAGCGATAGTGTAGGCGGGTGGGCTGAGAAGGGTGGACATGGAGGGACTCATGTCTGCGGGGAGAGCTGCTGGTGGGAGGGCATGGAGAGCCCTCCCTTCGGGAGAGAAACCGGGATGAGTGTTAAGATGGGTGGGCAAAGAAGAGGCTATTGATACCTGCTGCGTCCAGGACTTGGAGCTCCCCTGATCTTCTCGTGAACCTCGCTGGGAGCAGAGGTGCCCGGTTTCTCCCCAAGAAACTCTTGTCACAAAGATTTCGGAGAGCAAAAACTTCCCGTGTTCGTTTCGGGCTTATTTTCTGAGGTGTTGCACAAAATCGTGTGCTTGGAAACATAGTTCTCCTTTCAAGGTCTGGTTGTAAAATTGGGTTTTAAAAGCAGACGGTGTTGAATAAGTCAGCACGCTGAAGGATTATTTTCAAGGGTGTTGTGACCTGATAGCTGCTCCGGGGGATAGTGTGACTGGACGCCTTCCTCGTGCCCCTTCTAACATCCCATCATTGCCTCAGCCTTATTCCCACTCTTCCCTCTGCTCTGTGTTTAAAAAGCAGTAAGAGTTTGAACGTTGGCGTAGTTGACGTGGAATGGCAGACCTGGTGACTTTCCTTCCTCGGTGGCCTTGCGTGCACTGCCAAGGAAGATGGGTGAATTACGGTTACCCTGTTTTTACCTGCTTACTAGAGCCTTTCATCTTTCCTCTGTTAATTAATGCCAACTGCTCTGGCAGTGCTCTAGTTTTAAAGTGAAAACGAGGAACGTGCTTGTGGATTTTGAGTATTATCTTAAGACACGTCGTAAATGCCCTGTTGGCCTTCCAGGAGAAGCTCCTTCTGGATCTTCCCAAGTGAAGTCCAGCAGAAGGTGGTGTGCCGTGGCTGCCGAAGGCAGGGCTGGAGCTTGGAGTGCAGCAGAGATGCTGTGGTGGTGGAACTGGAGCAGTAATCCAGTTACCCCAACGGCTGTCTACCAGCAGGACTTCTGCGGGAGGAGAAGTCTCTTCGTCATGTACGTGTCAACTCAAGTGCTGGGGTTTGTAGATCCTTGGCAGAGAAACGCTGAAAAAAGGGACCCGTGGGTGCTCACATCAATCTGCTATTGATGGGTGATAGCAGTTTGGGCAGAACTTGCCAGTATGGTTTGAGTCCCAGAGGCAGACAAAAGATTCAGGATAATTCTTGGAATTAGTGTCAAAATTCTCAAAACGCTCTGAAAGTTCCTCAGACTGTGTCCATGTGCGTGGCCTTTCCTTTTCTTTATTCTTCCTTCCTATGGTCACCTCAGAGATGCCTTACCATCCTCTCCCCTCCAATTCCCCATTAGGACGAAATTATCTGATAAGTGTAATATGGCTTTAATAACAACCCAAACTTATAAACAGAGGAAGGGAACATACTTACAAATGTTCCTTAACGTTTGCTCCAAGGGCTGTTCATAAGAGTAGCGATCTAATTCAGTGTTAGAGAAACCAGTGCTGCCTAGCACGCAGATAGTTTATAAGGACTTAAATAAAATTAAAAAAAAAATAATACAGCCAATAACTTTTGGAGGTCATCTTTAAGCTACTAGAACAAAGCCTTATTCTTAAGGGAGGCTTTCCAGGCTTCCAAAGTATTTTAAAAGCTGTCCACCCAACTAAAAGTGAAGCCAAGGAGGGCTGCAGTAGCTTAATAGGAGGATTTTGGTTTTGAAGTGAGTTTGCTAACCCGGAGGAAAAGGCAGTATGAAAGTTTTGCTTCCGTTTTCTACTTCTGTTAATTTAACTAAAGTTGATGACCTACAAATTTACTCAGAAAGAGTCTTCAGCCTAGGTAAACTCCTGAATGGCTGCAGCGCGGTGGAAATATGTTCATACAGAATCATTGCCGTCAGCGCCAAATGCAGGTTTTTCTGCTTTGCTGCGGTGTGGGTATTCCCTGAGCTGCTCTCGGTACCTTGCAGTGCAGTGGTGGGAGTCGTGGTGAAGAGCACTGATCCAGAGTCTTCCCTTGGAAGACAGACCGGGGTGTTTCTGCAGAGCCCCCGTTAGGAGCCGTCCTTCCAAGCGTACGTGTCTCTGTAGTGAAGGTCTTGGCTGGAGGCTGGAGTGGGGGAAGTCCTTCATTCCGACAGTCTTCCTCCCTCCTCTCCCAAGGGCATCTTAGCTACAAGTGGAAAGTTCCCTGCAAATTCCTTTTTTTTTTTTTTTCTCTCCTTTCTTTCCTCAGTGAATAGTCATGTTCAGTCTTTATTTATGGACCCAAGTGGTGCCTAAAAGCCATTTTCAATAAGTGCGCAGTAAATTTTTAGGCACGCAGTATCCTTTTTCCAGTAAGGACAAGATATAGTTGATGACAAAATATGCTCAGTTCTGTGAACATGGGACTTCTGAAGTCTGAACCCACCTCTAACGTCTCTCTACTTCTGTCATAATAGCTTAACTTTTTTTTTTTTTTTTGGATCAGTTCCTCTGTGAGTGTATCCTTTATCCCTGTCTTCTTCCTCTGTGTCACCTAACTGGGTTTGGGTGAGAGGGTTAGGTCGCAAGACCGCAGATGATCTGAATTGTAGACCTGGTGAGGAGCCTGCCAGTTGGCCAACGTACCTGCTCATTGGAAACCAAACAGAGCAAGTAACTTCGAGCTTGTCCCGTGGGCCTTCCCTCCATGGGGCTGTGGGTTTGTTTCTCTAACTCATCTCTGACTTTTCACAAAAATTCAGTTTTTAGTACTCGGTGTGTTTCTGCCGTGATGTCTTGTCTGTGGTCCCCGTTACAGGGAAGCACCTGGTCTGATGCTGGGGAGCAGCTGTAGTGCGGCTGAATGAGGCTGGAAACAAAACCGGCTGTTAAATTTTGCTCGTTCAACATATTTAAAGTTCAGATAGTCCTCACTTTTCCTGTAAAGTGGTATATTAATTTGGTCATTGGGGTGCGTTAATGAAAAGCTACAACAAGCTTATGCAAATTTATGTGAAATTAGAGGATTGGCATATCAGGTAAGAGATCAGGGCAACTTCTTCTTATTAAATTGACATTGAAATAGCTTATGAAGGTGCTAGATAAATTTTTGCAGCAAAAGGAAAATAAAGTAAGTGTTGCGCTGTTAGCGCGGCCTGTGCTGTGAGTTATGCGAATGCAGTTTAAAAAAAAGGCGTTAAAAAACACTGATACCTTTAGTGGTAAAGAAAGTAGGTAAATGACCAGAAACTTGAAGGTGGGTGGGTGGGAAATGGATGCAGTGTATGTGAATGAGAGGTCTTTGGTTGTTTCTCTTCACTTGTTTGATCTAGTTGAGTTAAACCATGGCTTGCTATTGCAGTCTGAGTGTAGAACTGCTCCGTCATGGTGTGCGTGTGGGTTAATCTTTATCCATGCTCTCGAAAGAGAAATGGGAATAGCTAACACTGGAAATCACCTGGCTTATTCGGAAATGTACTTCTGGGAAAGTAGGTTTCATATGCACCAGGGAAAGGACTTTCTTCAAATCCAAGGCTTTCAGGGAAGCGGTTGGGTTGCCAGTGGGTGTGGGGTGGAGGAGTTTCTTTAGTCACTGGGAGTTTAAGTATATGGAGATTTATTCCTCTCAAGCCCTGTCTCTGTTTCATGTTATAGTTATAATTGGTCATTTTTAATGCACCTGAGCTGGCAGTAGGAGCAGTGAAAACTGTTTTATAGATGTAGCTCAAGGATTTTAAAGATGAAGCTGGTGAGCTGCTGGCATTCAGGAATAAGTGTAACCAGGGCCAGACCTTTCCTGAGGGCCTGGAAGGATGCTGGTGTGCTCGGTGGATGGACTGAAAGCTGAGGATAGTAGTTACAGGCAGGCACTAGCTATGGGAGGTCCTGAGGACCGGCCTGCGTGTTGCTACTTCAGTTTTTGGCTGTCTGGTGCCCGGATGGCTCTGCTGAGCGCAGGGCCGGTGGTGACAGAGGGAGGATGCTGCGCTGACTGTGGAGCTCGCGTGGCTTTACCGAGAACGTCGAGTCGCTAAGTCTCGCTGCTGTTGTCCGTCTTGTTTGTTTTCTATTCTGTCAGTGCGATGCCTAACGTTCTCTTGTCCTTTTCCCTTCCGTAGGCTGCCCTCGGGAGAGGCAGTGGGAGGCAGTGGAGCTGGCCTCGGCACCGGGAGAGGCTGGACTTCCCGTCTCTCTGTGCTGAATGGCTGCGATGGCGCCCGCTCTCACTGACGCAGCAGCTGAAGCTCACCACATCCGATTCAAGCTGGCTCCCCCGTCCTCCACCTTGTCGCCTGGCAGTGCCGAGAGCAACGGCAACGCCAACAGCATCCTCCTGGCTGCCAACAGCACCAAAAGGAAAGCCATTGCTCCGGAGGATCCCAGTTTAGATTTCAGAAACAACCCTACGAAGGAAGAGCTGGGCAAGCTGCAGCCGCTAGTGGCCTCTTATCTCTGCTCGGATGTAACATCTGTTTCTTCAAAAGAGCCTCTGAAGCTGCAAGGAGTCTTCAACAAGCAGACAGTCCTTAAATCTCACTCTCTCTTATCTCAGTCCTTCTTGAAAACAAGTGATCTGTTGGGGAGGCAACCGGTGTTGGAATTCACTTTGGAGAATCTAAAAACAATGAGTACTAATAGCCAGCCACCTCTCCCGCAAGCGCCTGTAAATGGCTTGGCCAAGAAATTGGCCAAAAATACCAATTCAGACCATGAAAACTCTAGTTCTCTGAATGGTGGGAAGTGTGCTCCTCCTGCTGCTGCCCTCCAGGGTGTTGACTATAATGCAGGAGGTTCTGAATTGGGGGACTTGAAGACCGGGTTGACCAATTGCACTCTTCCACGTAGAAGCCTTGATGCAGAGCACACAACTCCGTTTAGCAATAATAGCACTGCAAACAAATCTTCCCTTAATTCCACAGAGCAACAGCGGGTTCTCGAGGGTGGCAGTGGAGAGACTCGGTTGCCCGGTGTTGCTAGTCACTCTGACTTTGGGAGCAGTAAGTTGGAGGAGCAGAAACCACATCTGTTGGCCGGTCACCACAGTGCTCTCGACTCCGAGATGAGGACGAGGGCATTGCTGCGACGGCAGGCAGACATTGAGAACCGTGCCCGCAGGTTGCAGAAACGCTTGCAGGTGGTGCAGGCAAAGCAGGTGGAGAGACACATCCAGCAGCAGTTGGGTGGCTTCTTGGAGAAAACTCTGAGCAAGCTTCCAACTTTGGACCCCCTGAGGCATCGGAGCCAGCTGATGTTGACCAGAAAAGCAGAAGCAGCCTTGAGGAAAGCTGCGAGTGAGACAGTTACTTCAGAAGGCCTAAGCAGCTTCTTGAAGAGCGATTCAATATCGGAAGAACTGGAGAGATTCACGGCCAGTGGTATGGCCAACTTGAGATCCAGTGAACAAGCGTTTGACTCGGATGTCACTGACAGCAGCTCGGGAGGAGAGTCTGACGTTGAAGAAGAGGAACTGACCAAAGCAGACCCAGAACAACCCCACGTACCGCTGTAAGTAGCAGTCGTGCTTTGCTTACCTCTGGTGGGGGGAGAGCGAGGTGGAAGGTGGCAGATGGAAAATCTGGATTTCTTAGGAACACTTTTCTGTTTTGATGGGCTTAGATCAAAGTAGTAGTTGTTAAAACTAGCGTGGTGTGATTTGCAGCATACTTCCTAGTTCGGGCAGCACACGCGACATCGAAGATAAAATTCTTCATGCGTTACAGTAGTTGTTGGTGTTCTGGTGGAACAGCAAGTCCTGGAAATACTGGCTGGCTGGAGCAGCACAAGCATGCTGCAGATACAGACCCGAAATACTATAAACTGTTCTCTCCGTGATACGTTGAGCCTACCCCTGAAATAAAATGTTTGTCTTTTTACAATGGGAATCTTTGTTGTAAACCAGTTATGTAAAGTAGGACCAGTCTGAATCTTTGTAGCTGACAGCATGCTTCTAACTGGGGAATTTTTTTTTTTTATTTATTTTTGTTAAATGAACTGCCTGGAAAAAAACCTCTGAAAGGATTTGGTCCAAGTGCCAGTGGAAGTGTGAAGTTCTCTTCTTGAATCTGGGAAATTATTGTTGGGAATTTTCTTCTTGTCTGTGAGTTGCATGAGATGATGGCAACAGCCACATAATTATGTTGTTAACTGGATGCTGTTTGCGTAAGTATTAGGTGTCAATTTGTGTGTGGAGGAGGAGGATCCTTGTCAAGGCAAAGGTCTTGAGACAGGTCAAGGAAGAAGGGAAATTTTTCTTCTAAAGCCAAGAATTTTCCCTAGGAGTGTGTATGACAGTATTTTACACAAATCTCTTAAAAGGCCATATTCTGTGTCCAGTCTGTGTAAAATCTTGCTTGCATCAGTAGATGATCTCTTCCACCCTGATGGACCTATTGAACTTAAACCTCGGTCTGTGAAGTACAGCTACGGTCGACAAAAAGCTCCCTGCAGCAGTCACAGGGGTCCTGTTTGGAATGCGGATGGCTTTCCGATCCAGGCTGGAAATAGTCACCGGGACTCTTGTGTACCTGCGCTATTCTGGGTTTGCTCAGATCTCTGTAGAGAAATAACTGAATGTATTTTGATACCTGTTGTCCAAAGTTACGTTAACGACTGGTCGAGTGCTGCGTGACACAAATTTTATTGAACTACGTAGGTGGATGTGAACAGTGTGCGTACTTGGTAACTTCAGCATCCTCCGAAAACACGCTCATATGGATGAGTGCTGATAAACAGATGTTACAGCTCTTGAATATTAAATTCCAGCTAAATGTCACATCATGTTTTGGGCTGTTAGCATAGGATGAATTTCTGTATGTGAAGTCTTAAACGTGGCATGAGTTCGGCTTTCTCCCAGTGCAAAGCTAGTAGCTGAGCACGTGATCCCTGCTGGCTGGACATTAAGGCGTTCTTGTGCTGTTAGAAGAGAGAGTTTAATAACTTTATTCCTGTTTTATAACGTCCACAAACTTACTGTTGGGATTAGTAGTAAAATTGCATTTATAAGTATTGTAATAGTTATTAGAGGAGACATTTGATTAAAATTCTGTCCAAAGCAATATTAAATTTCCCATATTGTGGGTTTCATAGATTCACGTGTTGTCTAGCAAAGTGAAATTTCTTTACCACTCGTCTTAATCCCAAGAGGAAGTGCGGTATTCAGAGACACGATGCGTGAAATTCTTTGCTGACTTTTCTGCCCTTTGTGTTAGTCATGCCTTTACATTCCCCAACCTCCCGAGTACTCTTAAAAAGCCAAAGATTTTAAAGCTAATAAAAAGAGCGATCCTTCTGTTGTCTAGAGGTTCAGAAGCTGGTGTGGACGCATACTGGCGTCTAGGCCAGGCCCACCAAACCTCGTTTAAAGTGTATGCCTGTGGGTATTTAGTAATTAGTCTTCCCAGCATTGACTGTCCTGTTGGCATGAGTGCTTCGACATTGGGTCTCACGAGCTCTGGCATTACTGACGTTGAGGCTGAATGCACGTTTGTGCTTGTTAGCGAAACTCCTGAAGTCAACCTTAAGAGCTGGTACAAGCATCCGAGTACATCTAAATACTGTTCTTTTCAAAGTAGTGCTAAGGGACAGGAAGGGGAAGAGCTGAGTTTTCCACGGGGAAGCCGCCTTGGGCCAGCTTGTTGTACAGAACCATTGTTTTACGTCTGGGTGAGCACAGAACAGCCAAGGCTTTTTGCAGGCTTGCTCGAGTATGGCTGGATTTTTGCAGCTTGCTGAATTTACCTATTAGGAGCAAGACTTCTACCCTGATTATTTTAATTTTGCTAGTGAGACGGACTGTCTTAACGAGTGTAAAAACTTCTCTCTCGTCCCTCAACCGGCGTCCCTCGGCTGTGTATTGCCCCTGGGTGCCCCTGCCTTCCCCCAAGAAACTGCTTGCTTGCTTCTAGACCTTTAGTGAGAGTTATGCTACAAACTTGTAGCTTGCTTGCAGTAAGTGGCCGTGTTAGTGACTGCCTCTGGGATTCAAGTAGAAGCAGGCAAAAGAAACAAAGATGTGTTTACATCGTGCTCTGATAAGAGCTGACCTTTGAGTTGTTCTGGCGTGGTGGCATTCCAGAATCGGTATCTGGTCAAGGACAGACTTGGAACCATCTGGCCCGCCTGATCCTGGTTATAGAGCAGCATCTCCCTGAGGAATTGCATCTTTCCAGTAGCGTTAGGGATCGGTCAGAACTTACAGGTCCCTCTAAAACACTCGTATACCTGCTGCCCAGGAAGATGCTGTCATTCAAGTGCATAACCAGGCCATCATGTAATGCATAAACAAAGCAGGGAGGTATTCGTTACACCTTTATTGGGAAGCCCTGCCAGCTATGGGCTTGGTTTAACAAGGCGCTCTTGATTCTCATGCAGCTGATGGGGAAAGAAAGCGCTTGCAGACAGGGTTGGTTCATCCTGCGTTCTTAGGTTTATGTGGATCAAGGACCACCGTGTTGCATTTCGTTTGCTCTCAGATTAATAATACACAAGTCTTTTGCTTCACAGCTAAGATCCCCTTACGTGTCGCTTCAAAAGTGTGTGCGGTGACAGAGTGAGGATCAAGAGAAGCTTTGCCTCTGCTTGGTGGTGACGAAGGCAGGTTGGAACCTCCCCCGTGGAGAATCGCACTGAACTTCTTTGGCTGGGTGTGACTGTAGGCAGCAGCCGTCTGCGACTGCGAAACCTGTGCTGCTTTGAAAGGGCTCAAATGCTGTTGTCAGCGTGGTAGGATCAGGAACCGCTGTTTGTGAAAGGTCGCTCGGAGCAGGGCATGTGAATTCCTCCCCGTGCTGGAGGGCTGCGGGCTGGGCTCTGGCTTACGTGGCCAAGTGGTGGTTCGGCAGGTAGTCAAAGTCCTGGTGGTCCTCTGGCCCTGTACTAATACGTATTAAGTAGGACAATACTTCGTGTGGCTTGTGCATCTTTATAGTAGTTGCTTTTCTCAGACTGGTTGGTTTCTTTGATTGTCTTGCATTTGACTCTAGACTAGTTTCATCAGAATTTGTCAATTATTTTTGGCTGATTAGTTACCTGTGTCGAGCAGCAACGTAGTCATTAGCTGGTGAGTGGAATGTGATTTAGTCGCTGCAATCCTCAACTTCAGTCCGTGTACCACGGAGAAATTTTCTGAAGAGGTAGCGAAAACAAATATTTAGTTGGAACTTACCTTTTAGTTCAGGTTTCTTATCTGGAAAGTCACTGGTTTTGATGGCAAGTTACGTCAAGCTGCTGAGAGGGAACTGAAGTTCCTAGTGACCAGCTTCTCACACCGCCTTTCACAAGGATCAGACAGTACCTGCAACGTGTTCAGTTGTGGTTACGATGCCTATGGCCATGATGCCTAAGCAGACTTTTAATTATCCTCATTTACTGGTGGGAAATAGGAGCACCTTCTGCACTTTGGTGCTGCAGTGAATCATTTTGCAGCCTTGGAGCCCATGTGTTGACTCCTCCCTGTGCTGTGTCACATCGTGCTGCCTGGATTTTGGAATACCTGGACTTGGAGTAGTGATGAAGATTTCTCACTAAGAAGTGCCTCTGTCAGCACTAATTTCGAAATCCTGCGTTGGAGAGGAATGCGTGTGGCACTTGCATCAGTGGTTCTTGGGGGGGTAGTTGCAGTTGGTGCATCAGTTGACGGAGAAACGGGATTTAGACATTCTGATTTTTCTCCCCTGATTATATTTTTGAAGCGAGACCACGATAAGGAAGCCTGTATTTCAGGGGGTATTAAATAGCATTTGTGAAATCTGTGACTTCATGGAGCTGCAATTCAGATGGCAAATCCCTGGCTGTGGGGACTGAAGAAGCTTTTCCTACTGGTCACAAACACGTTTCGCTAACACCGATTTATGCAGAGCAATCCTAAAAGTTTATCTCTACTCTTTCTGGCTTTTTCCATTAGCTGCTTGGCTTTTTGTGGCCTTTTTCTTGTTCTTGGCTTCTAGCTGTGACCCTGACAACCTTCTATTTTTCAGCTATTCATGAAAACTTGCGTATGTCATACCTGAATTGCTTGTTGTAACCCATGTGCTGCTCAGCAGCAATATGTTGGTCAAGAGAGATGTCCCTCAAGCGTCTTTCAGTTGGGAAGAGAGAAAGAGAGCAAATCCTGAACATGTTCTTGCTTTGCATTTGAAAGCAGAATAGCAGATATTGTTCAAAAATGCTTAATCAGGTATCCGGAGTAAGTAGGACACTCTGCAAGTCTCTCTTGCTTTTAAGAAAAGAGGGCAAATGAGAACACTGCTTGAGAAGGATCTTAAGAAAAAGGAGTCAGTTATTTCTCCAAGAAATGTTGGTCATAGTACACCTTTTGTAGATACAGCGGGTGTCTAATAAGTTGATTCTGCCTTTTATTTCAGCCTTGATCCTCATGCAGACTTTGCTGAGTGTTGAAGGGAGGTTAGGTGTTTTCGGTATGAGTACTCGCGTTGCCATCCACAGAACTCGGTCAAGGCAGTGGTGTTGGCGTTCATCCTGGATGCGTTGGGTTAAATTCATCTTTC